GAAATAGTATATGAATTTGTTGACAAAGTGATAATGAATCATAATATGATATTATATACGGGGTGTTCCATTCGAAAAATCAAAGAAGCCGCTACTTTATAGGCGTGTAGGTCATATTGATTTATGCATACTGTGAAATTTTCAGGTTGATCCGTTGAATAGTTTGTCAGAAACGGCTCATTAACGCTCATCATGAAAAGCCCTGTATGTATAATTTTGAAATTGTCCTTATAGGACGGAATTGCAGTAACGTGTATTACAAATAAAAGTGGTAAAAAACATAGAAAGTTTCAATTCTTTTTTCTTCATTATGATCCCCTACCATATAGTAACGCTAGCCATCAATTAATAATATAATATGCTGCTAATTAATAAATTTTTATACCGTACAGTAATCTGTTGTGAAAAACCTTGCTATTTCTTTCGATTAAATTTAACGAGAAAATAGAAATATTTTTATAATCAAAAATTCAGAAGTACATATTCAATAACCAGGGTTTCTCTTTTCAAACTTCATCTCTCAGTGTCAGTTACTTACGACACAGTGAGTGATTTTTTTTGAATGATTTTTCGCTTTTCCTGAACTTTACCATTATTCTTGCCACCGTTCTGAATTGAACATTTATTGCAGGAAATGACGCTTCAAAAAGTCTAGCTACTTGTCAGGAAACAATTTTTTCCTTATCAAATTTCATTTCCTGTCAATTTCGATAGGTGATAGATGACGTATAGTGAGAAGTATCCATATAAGTTTCGTTATAAATAAGAGCACAAAAACCTCCGCTAGAGTCCATGCTATGCGGAGAAAGTAGCATTTCAATTCTAGCATAGTGAAAACCATGGTGAAAATCCATTAATTTCAGAATAACTCAGATACCTCAACAAATAATGTTCAACGATATTTACGCTTGAAGAATCAATAGCGTCATATCTAGAAGTGAATCTGAATTTGTAGCAAAAATTATGAACAAATACTTGAAAATCTAACAGCGGTTTTTATTACTATGTCATATTTTTTTCACTACATTTTCATTTCCTCTTCATATTGAACATGAATTTCGGTAATAATTAATGTTATTAGCACAAACTTAATTGAAGGCTCATTACAATTTTCCCAATAAGTATGTTTTCATTTTTGATTCACTCTTTTTTGACAATTATAACCCTGATTTTTCCATCTTTGACAAAAATATCTCTTTCAATTCGAAATATTTGTTCCTCATCAACAAATAGATTCACCAAAGTTAGAGAAGATAAAAAAGATTAGGTGGGAGAAAAACACAGTTAAATGGAAACGAAGAAAAACAAAAAATAAAACAATTAGAGCAATGACAGCACAATATATTCAGAGAGGGTCTAAGATTTCAATCTGTTCCACTAGAAAATGTTTTCTCGTATCTGGAATTCGGGTGAGCTTCATAACATAAGAGTTTATTATTTATTAAACTGTACAGAAATGTGATCGTAATGAAAAGTTGACATGTATTTGATGATAATGCATCAAATTGATTGAGGAGGATATAATTATCACTAGGTAGTTAGTTCAATTAACGCAAGAAAACAAGAGGTTTGAGAAATTCAATTTGTTATATACAGGACGTCCCAACAAAAACTTGACCTCCCCTGTAAGTCAGAATTGGACATGTAATCGAAAATTTCAAAGCACACATCAATTTTTATTTCTAGGGGGACCAATTCTGATATGGAAATCATACCCTAAACTTTACCACCCTGCCGTCAGCAACTACCCCCATATTTATTTCTATGGCATGGGGGTGCAGTGATACATCATTTGAAAGGCTTTTGTCCCTCTATTACCTCTGTAATTTTTTTGAAACTGGTTCATTCGTTATTGAGAAATTAAATGTTGAACATTCCCCATTTTGATGAGGAAATCAACAACAAATAATATCAGTGGGAACAAAATCAACGGATGAATTGTTCAAAATGACCTCCACCTAGTTCCATACAATAATACAGTCTACTCTCGAAAGCGTTCCGTACATTATTCATGATGTCCGGAGTCAGCCATCGGCATTCCTGAATAATTCTCTGTTGCAGGTCTTCTAGATTTGTAGGCTCAGTAGAGTACACTTTCGACTTCAGGTGTCCCCACAGAAATAAGTCCATCGGTGTGAGATAGCCACGTCACAGTTTTTGAACGAACATTATTGGAAAACGTTCGTCCATGATTACCAATAATACCGGCCTAAATTCAATTTTTGTGGAGTTTCTAAATGTGTTTCCATCACATTCCAACTGTCCATGATAATGAATCATACTATGATATTATCTACGGGGTGTTCCATTCGAAAAATCAAAGAAGCCGCTACTTTATAGGCGTGTAGGTCATATTGATTTATGCATACTGTGAAATTTACAGGTTGATCCATTGAATAGTTTGTCAGAAACGGCTTATTAACGCTCATCGGTNGTATGGATTCAAATATAGGTCATTTTGAACACTTTATCTGTTTATTGTGTTGCCATTGTAATTACTTTTGTTGATTTCCTCAATAAAATGAGCGACAGCGATTTCTCTGTTTTTTCTTAAATAAAACGTTCAACATTTAGTTTCTCAATAACAAATGAACAAATTTCGAAAAACAGTACAGAAGTAATGTGGGACAAAATACCATTCAATTCCCTTGTGTATCTTGTGTGCCTATCATTCATTACAGAATTGTATTCTACTTTTTTTTCTAATGATTTTTCTAATGATATTACTAGAAAAAGACAAGACATGACAAGTACAATATTGAAAATTCAAATAATCATCCATAAAAAGTTAAAACAACGAAATCCTATATTAAAGCCTTGCCGAACTCCAGAGATTTTGTTATATGAAAAAGACTAGGTAATTGAGGTAAGAGGTAATTTCTATAATAGGGTTTAAAAAATATTGCAAAAATGCATAGAGGAGCATCTATTTACTTTTTTGCTCCTTCCTCAACATTATCTGTGGGTTTATTCACCCGCAGTCCGATGGAATGGTCGGGAGGCATAATCACACCATAAATAACTACCTCTCGATTTTTGTCTCCGAAAACCAAAGAGACTGGAATAAATTGGTTTCTCTCTTTCTGTTGGCATACAGGAGCTTCCAACATGACGCTACAGGTTAGACACCATCCATGTTGTTAACTGGTCGAGAACTGAAATTTCCGATAGATGTATTGTATGACTCAAGAGGTACCTATTTCAGAGGGGAATAGTAAACAAATTCGCCAGATCCAAATTACAGCTTTTCAGCGACAGGATGAAGATAAGATTTGACAAAAAGTCGCTGCCAGTGAGCTTCAATGAGGGCGATGCAGTGTGGCCCTATCAACTCCAACTTCGAAAAGGTTTGTGTCCCAAGTTGCAGAGACGATGACAAGAACCTCACTTGGTAACCAAAAAGAGAAACGAGTTGGGGTACAGAATCCAATTGTCACCCAGAAGCAAGTCTAAATTTGCCCACATAAAGAGACTGAATCCATACATAGGTCGTGATGTCCCCTCTTGGAATGTTGTTCGGGGCGAACAAACTCAGGGAAGGCGGTAGTGTTGTAAATCACGTCCTAAAGAATATAAAGCCGGCCACCACTGGCAGCCAAAAACCAATTGCGATGTAGCTTACAGCACGCGAATGTCCGATGTTCTCTGCCGTTCTAACGGCTTCGATGGAATTCCGAGGAATTGTCCAGCGCCTTCAATTGCCAAATATAAACTCGATCCACTCGCCTATCAAGAAAGTCAAGTGGAAGTGACAGTGCTGTACACGGAGCGATCTAGTAAGGCGATAGACATTCGAAATCGATGAAAACGATGTCAAAATTGCATGAAGTGGCCTTCGAATTGCTTCTGCATCCACCGTATTTTCCAGATGTGGCCATCAGCGACTTTTTCCTGTTCTCAGACTATAACAGAATGCTCGCCGAAAAGAAATTTAGTGCCGATGAAGAGGTATTCTTTCAAACTGAGGCCTTTTTTTGAGGTAAAAGGTAAATTCTTCTACAAAAGTGGTATTGAAATGTTAGAGCCGAGCAGCGCTTGAATGATTATGTGGCTCTTGATGGATATTACGTTAATAAATGAAGCCAGTTTTAAACAAAAAAAACGCGATTTCTCTCTCAAGCCCGGGACTTCTCAGCCCATGTGTTGAGAGTAATTTACAATTGCTTCTCGAAGTTATTTTACTAATTTCTGACATTCAATAGCCTGAAGATATTCCCATCGAGATGTATGTATTGGCTTGATTCAAATAGAATCATTGAAGCTTCTTTTACGAATCGATTCAATCTGATCTACCTTTCTAATCGATAATATAAACATCGTACACTTTTAGGCACCTTGAGTTTAAGTGGAATATTGTTGTAGATCATGCCCGAAAGAAAGTAACGCCAGTCGCCATTGGTAACCATAAACCAAACGTGACGTAGCTAAGAGCGCGATGATGCCCAATGTTCCCTGCCGCTTGAGAAACAGCAAGAGTCATGCTACCGATGTCGATGGAACTCCGGCGAAAATTCTACGATGTTCGATTACGATATTCAAACGCTGGCTGCGAGCGTATCGAGACAGTCAAGTACACAGTCAAGTGAACGTTACAGTGAGGTACGTGAAGTGATCTAGTAAGGCGATAGACATTCAAATAATAGTTGAGGTTTTAGTTGAAGTGTTAGTTGTGATTAAAGTGAAATAAAGTTAAGTCCATGGGTAAAAACGTAACAATATAATGTCACATTTATGTCAGTTATGCCACTGACTTAAAGTCATGTACTCGTACTGAAAGAAATGAAATGCATTTCAATTGAGTAGTGACCTTACTGTCCCACAATACATATTTCGTCCTTGATCATTCGACATGTCAAACAACAGGTAGGTAGATTTAAAATATTTTTAACATACCCTCCATTTGATAAATTGTAGGGAGACCTGAATATTATATTTTCATTCAAAAACTTGAATTATCTATTTTGCTACACTCCATATTTTTTCAAAAATTGAAATAAGTTTCAAATATCAAAATTCTTTTTGAATATTATCAACATTCGATTACTAAACATAGAAAACAACGTGAAAAATATCTTCAAAATTGGCCTATGAATAAATCTCGCTTCATCAAAATTCAGACGATTATGGATTGTAACAATTGATATGTCGCTAAATAACTAGTTTCTTCAAACCTGATAATACATTCAGACAATAGAAGTCCGAACGTCTAACATTCTTTTAATGACCCATTTTACGTATCAATCCATCACATGTTAGTTTCCCAAATTCGCCAAGTTCGCCAAATAACTAGTTTCTTCAAACCTGATAAGACATTCAGACAATAGAAGTCCGAACGTCTAACATTCTTTTAATGACCCATTGTACGTATCAATCCATCACATGTTAGTTTCCCAAAGTTCCTTGAAGTTTTCATTGTCTTTCAGTAAAAACTGCAAATGATCTTACGCTACTGATACATTTACAAAGAATTGATTATTAAATTTTCTGGTAGTGACTGAAAATATCATGTTGATAATAATTCATAAGCTTTTTTGGAATTCTCTAATTTCAACCAGAAACAAGATTGCGGCTCTACATATGAACATAAACAAAAGTGTCCTAGAATGCTGGAAAATACTCACTTTTTCAATCATACTCTGCGTCCTCCCAATAAATCCTCCACTGTCCTTTTTGGTACCAGCCCTTAGGTTGACCGGCTTATAATTTATATCATTCATAGCGTCATAGTTAATAAAACTGAGATCGTTATAGCTGACGCTAATGTCGGTCTCTACCAAAGACTGCAAGGACTGTCTCCATTCCTGATTCATCTTCTGGACCAGCTTCTCTCGACTGGGTTCCTCTCTCTCCGTCTTCTTGTTCACTTCACGGAAACTGAATGATCGCTTCAGAAAATTTGAAGAGTCCTCGCCGATGTTGTGAACGATACGTCTGATGAAGGATGGAGTTCGTAAGTGGGGCCCCTTGTGATTGAGTTCGAGAGCAGAAGCAAACTTCTTGCTCTTTTCCAAGGTGTTGGAGCGAAAGACTGGAAGCTGGGCCAGGTTATCGTGCGTCTCTTCCTCCTCTCTGCTCTCCTTGCTCTTGAGCTTGTCTTTCTTTCCGAAGATGGCGGCGAACGATAATTTCTTCTTCTTTTTGTCTTTGTCTTTGATTTTCTTATCTTCTGAAGTGGTAACTGGTAAAGGTTGCTTAAAGGCTCTGTTGTCGTTTTCGTCAAGTTCGGACTCACGCAATGTGCACTCGCTAACGGCTCTACGGTGCAGATTCACGTAATTGTTTCTACACTCGTTCACTGTAACATCTAAAACAGATACTCTTCTATTGGTAGTTCTCAAGTACTTGTCATCTTCCGATAATTTCTTTTCGCGGATCATCACGGTTCCACTTTCCGAAATGTTCATCGCACTTTCGCACATTTCTTTCAAGAGTTTTTCTATAAATTGTTCGGTATCTTGTTCCTTATCATGATCTGATATATTATCCGGATCAGAGCCAGCGTGATCCGCTCGCGTTTTGTTATTTGACATTTTACTAATCCCATTTGATAACCGAACTTTGTCCTTTTTATGGTGTGTTGGATCATCTAATATATTTGGGGTGAAAGTACATATTTCTTCGGACACCATTTTTGAACGACGGGCTTTTTGTCAATTGAACACATATAACCTGTGAAGGTGACAAAGTGAGTGAAAGCATCCCATTCAGGCAACGATATCGTGGCACAAATCAAATATTAATTTCTGTCATACCTCTGATAAAGAAGTAATAAAGCAAATATATTCATTATCAGAAACGAAGATTCTACTACGTTAGGCTGGCAAAATAGTTTTCAAATAATGAGAGGGAATTGACTACAATGTGCTAGATCACTACCATGACATCCTGGCAAATAGAATGGTAGGAAAGAAGCAATTGAATGGTCATCGCACTTTCAAATCATGAAAATAGTAACAAATGAAAGATTGGAAGATTGGAAGACAAATAATGTTGAAAAATTAAAAAAGGAATATTCTTGAACATTGGGTAGGTACAAATTTGTAGATATTTTTTATTACTCTGTATAACGACAACATTTCAAGGACTTCTACTTTTTACGCACCAAATTGTTCATATTTTGCCCGATTCCTCCAAATGTACTAAAAAATGGAGGCTTTTTAAAAATTCGTGGAAAAACATTGAAACAAGTTTGTCGCTCAACAACAATTGAAAATCCAACATCGCAAGCAGAGATGTCCTAACAATGTTTGAAAATAAAGATATTTTTAAACAAACACTGTCAAAAATGAAAAGGAAGCCATTCCAAAAGTTTCCAAATATTGATGTCTCTAAAAAAAAATAGTGGATTCGGTTGATATCATTGGAATTGTCTGAAAATGATTCAACATTAGGTCGAAAATACTAAAAAATCAGAAAGAACAAGTTAGGACAAACGAATTCTCAAATTATTATAGTATTTTACCTTGGATTATTTTTTTCTGCGGAATATATTCAGTTGAAGTCAACTTTCAAACTCTGTTATATATATTGAAATAGACACAAAAATTACGGATATTATCAGTAACCATTAACAGCGACTTTGTATTATCAGGTAGGTATACTGTTTATTGCCGTTTCAAAATTATTTCCTGCTAATTCGAAATGACACGGTGAAAAGTTATTGTACAAATACATGTTATTTATTATAGTTAAAGCAGTTCTCTTCATTTTGATAAGCCACTTTTATGATTAAAAATTCAGTATTAAAGTTTAAATATTTTTTGTATGCAACTCAGCAACGATTTGTTATTCAATAAAAGTTTTAATATTTCTCAATTCCTTGGAGAAACCATGACCCTGATAGAACAACACAATTCTGAAAAATATTAAGTAAGTTGATTTTTGGAGGATTTCTCCAAGAGAAAGAGTTATATTTTGAATTTTAACATTGACGTGTACCTCTTGTACTTCAAAAAATGTCATTTTCATTTTTCTTGAAGGACAAAACACAAGCACTACAGGAAAATCCTCAAGGCGCTCTAAGAGCAGTGCCTGTGCGAAAGTAGCGATTCACATTGGATTTGAATCGCTGGAGATTGAATCCATTTAGAAAAACGTTCTCAGAAGTTTATTCCACAAAAATGCAGTTCTCCAAACGAAAGATTTCTTAAACAGTGAAGTTCTGAGTACTGAGTTGAACCTCAAAACAATGAGCAGCCGCAGTGTGTACAGTTTTCTGATTCGCAACAGTGTTCCAAGGTTTTGAGAGGCAGCCTTTGGAATTCCAGCGACATGATTGTGCTAAGACATATTGTCAAAACAGAAAGCAGAATTGTCTGACTTGACATTATTATATCCGATTCGGAGACCAGTATCTTTTTGCAGAAAACAGATGCCTGGTTTTTTGTAGCATTGAACTGAATCTGGTTACTTTCACCCCATTTCGAAATCACTCCTAGATCCTGTGCCAGTAAACAAGAGAAAGTTTCAAGGCTCCCTATTCCATATTATAATGAAGTGAAATGTGAAACTGGAACGTCTGGTATAGAATAAATACGAAACCAGCGCTGCTCTCAAACACCAGAGCTGGAACACTCTTCTCGACGCGCGTTCCACAAACCAAGTTGGCGTCGCCAGGAGATGAAGTAGTAGATGGCATCTTGGTCATTTAAACGCGCGTCTAGAGGAGTGCTACAGTTCTGGGTTTATTATAGAGTAGTTATTGTCGAAAATAAAAAAATGCATCTTTCATTTGACATTTTCTGTAGAACAAGACGTACTTAGACTTTGATGTCGAAGTTAACAAAATACCACTACTTATTTAAATTTTTGAAATGTATAGAGTAGAAAATGTTATTCGAGAAAAAAAATATTAAAAAGTACGTTGATTGGTGACAAATTCAATTCCAGAATGTTTAGTTGAAGACAGAGTAGACATCCATAGATGACGTCATACTGCCGCCATAATTTAGGGAAAAGGAAATGGCCACTTGTTGAAGAGAGACTTTTATGTTCTTCAGAAAGGTATAAGAAATATAAAGGGTTGTGTTTCAAATTCTTAGCTTAGGTTCATTTCCTACCCAACTCAAATAGACTTTCAATTGTTGATCACAATCAATTTGGAAGTGTAGACAAACTTTGAAGATATGGAATAAAATACAGATATGAAATATGTTATGTGGAATAGTTTTTCTCCTTTCACAAGAAATATGTCAAGATTGCTTCAATTGCCTGAATGGAATGACGTTCTTGAAATCTCAAAATCAACCTTGAATTTATTATTCGTAACAAATGTTCAGAAGAGTGTAGATGAATAATATTTCTGACCATGAAAACGTAGCGAAATCGATTGAAAATTGGTTGTATCGTTTTAATAGTTTTGTACTCGAAAACAAAGGTGAGCTACGCGAGTCATAAAACATATTTGATATTTCACTAACTGGTGACGTAAGTCGATTTTTTTTCTGTAATCAGTTCCACGAAAATGTGCATCGAATTACGAAATCGAATTCATTTTGACGTCGAACATTTAAATGATTTGAAAATATTGAAATCCATGAGATCAGTACTAATTAATTCAAGAAATTCAACGAATTCTTTTTGAAACTGAATTCTTTTTTATCTGTTTAATGTCTTTATATTTCGTAGAAATTGAAAACCACTATAATGTTACTGAAATGAAAATAGTGCAATAATTATATGGTAAAATTTCAGGTTTGAATTGAACTCAATTAAAGTTATCTTACATCTCATTTTTTACTATAATATTGCATTATTAAGGTATTGTTCATTTCAATTATGGATTTGCGAATTTATCAAAAAAAAATCTTTTTTTTTTCGATCATTTTATCGAATTTAATAACCACATTCTCGTTACAATTTGATAATGGATCATCATACCTGATGTCGTTTATTGATATTTCAAATCGAAGATAACGAGTATCATCCAAAATAACACATATTGATTTTTAAAACAGATCACGTTTTCGAAATTGTATGAGTATGAGCAAAACATATTCAGATAGCATACAAGTCTCAAGTTTTCTTTTCATTATTTGCTTTATCTTTTATCATTAATATGAAAACGAAGTAGATACTGATCTACATTTTGAGACTCAAACATTATTCGGACTTATTTATAGAACTGCACGTTCAGTTACTTCGAATATAAGTAAAGGTATTCCTCAAGGACCAATACTCAGCCCGATATGTATTATGCACTATTATACAGGCGATAATGCATCTTCTTGTGATGAGCCAGATGATATTCCCCAGACACATAAGGTACATATATCGCCACCACCGATATGCAAACCTTTCCTTGTCAAGTCAGACACATTATCAAAACAAATTTGCTCAACACGATTGCTCTACGATTTTCTCTATACAAATACAACTTAAGTTAGCTATTTTACAGCAAAACACATTTAACGTTGATGCAAGTCATTCAATAAAAGACAGAATTTTTGTTTTGGTGTTGAAAAGTTTTATCTTTCTGACCAATCTAACATGAGATGGCAAGTGAAATACTACACTTAAAGAATTCTTATATGTATTTAACTTTTGAATTACCTGTTATCTACAAATATTCATTACACTACTTTATTTTGTGAACCTAGAAAACCAAGTCATTCAGTTATTGAAGGGAAATAATAAAAATAATAATAGTCTTCATTTCTTATCATTCTCAATAGTTCCAAAATTGAAAAGAACTTTCATTAATTTCACAACAGAAACATTTCAGAGTTTTTTCAGGAGAGCACAACATAATGGTTAGCTTCTAACAATTTCGAAAATTCATCACAGTCACTCAGTTTTGAATTACTTTCCATTCGGTCGGTAGCCGGTCGGTTCGGCGTGGGTGCTTTGTTCACTCACTCAAATCGACCACCTCGTTGGTCTGTGGTTCAAGCCCCAGGTTGAACGATCTATTTTCACTTGATATCGTCCAACCCGTGTTAGGAATAACATATTGAAAGGTAAGACCTTGTTAGTCCTTAGCTCGTACAAGTTTCGACTTCCGAGGGTTGTCGTTCGTAGTGTTGCGGCAGCTGGTTAACGGAAAAACAGATTTCAAACAGACTTTTTTTCTAGACCATTTTAGTACCAATCATTCTTAAATTTGCGAAACTTTTACTTCAATGATTCAAGCTCAGAGTTGCATTTTAAAAAAAATAAATCCATACGTACTATCTTCTCTGGTATAGTCGAAGTAAACGGTATTGTGCACTCTTAAAGTTAGCGGCACTCTCAAAGGCTTAAAAAACCAATACATAGAAATGAACCGGCAGCGAACGAATCCAAGTGGAGTGAAGAATTGGCGGTTCGTATTGGATACTTTTTTCTAACCGAGTTTAATGATTGGCTGACGAGTCACGAATAGTGACGAATAGAAAACGGGGAATGCGGGGTTGGTTAACGCCGTCGTGTTCAGTTCAGGAAGTGATCGCGATTGTAGTGTTGAATTTCGATATTGGTGCAGTTATAATTACTTAAAATTTTTGTTATCTGTTTAAAATGTGGTGTCCTTGGACAAGTACTAATAGTAATAACGAGTGTGATAACAAAGCAGACTTTTTCCAGTGTAGTGATTCTCCAATAACGATGGTGAACAATGCGAAAATGAGATAACAGTGAATAAGATTCGGATGCATTTGAATATTGAAACACAGAGAGTATGTTTCAATGTA